GTCCCGCATGCTGGCTCTTACAGAACCGACTAACTCCCCTTTCGTGTATGTACAGCTCTCAACATGCCCAGACTTGTAGTGATTCTCACCTCGTTTTATACTTTTTCGCCTCATTCTTAACGAAACAGGTGAAATTTGCTAACGTGACTGCCATCTTTGTGATGGTGACGCGTATTGTGTGAGACCAGAGACCTGTAGTTCACTGAGCGGTTTCACACAAAAAAAATTGTAACTTCACAGTTTTACGACACATTTTTATTTTTATGACTTGCAAAATGTTCTTTTAATTTGACAAACATCATATGTGTCATTCGTGGCACAATTCAAACAGGATTGAAAGATGACTTTTCTCTCTCCATTGACTTCAATGTATAATTTTCCGCTTCCGGGGTCCCATGGGTCGGAAGTAGTTGGGCGGGACTTCGCCTCTCTATAAAGGCCTAATGAAAGGCATCAGCTGAAGTAGTCTTGGCCACCTCTGAAGTGGCACATGCTGGAAGATGAAGTGTTCCAACCTCGCAGATTAGGGGCTTCTGAACTGTGATATCAAGCCCACACACAGTGTTACACTAAAAAGTGTGTGGGTCATTTAGATTCATGAGAATCCAGAACAAGTACAATAATATAATTCCCTTCTGCCCCGTAAATCTGCAGATGATTATTGAACCGTGATGACTTGCTCCAAACCATGACAAAGAAACAGCCACTTATTCAAGACTTTTGGTGATGTATTTGCTTACCACATTTTTGCTCTTTGGTAGACCATGATAGAAGCTCAGAATAGTCTGTGTTGTGCAGCAGAGATATTGGAGAAGTGGAAAGGAGAGAAATGGTTTGGAATTCCACTGACCTCATCAGGAACGTGGCAAACATTTGGGATTGATTTCAGCCTGGACTTTGAGGACACCATCTAGAGTTTATGTCTGAGGAAGTTTTAGAATAATAACAGTAGGGCTATTCAATTAGTTTGGAATGGGGGCCGGTTGATGAAAATGATCCAAAGCAAGGGGCCGGGAAAAAAATGGCTTGAAATATGAGCAATCATATTAAGAACTTCGGATACAGTAAATACTACAACAGCATAGTGGAGTGCATATATTGTGTTTAATTAAATCAAACAACAATAAATGACAGGAGTTGTCACTACAGTAGCTAGTTCGATACCCGAGCCCGCCGAAGTTTTCAGGCAATGTCTTCCCCTCTATCTCTCAATGTAACACCCTCTCTGGAATAAAGGCACTCTGGCCCAAAAAAGAAATTTGATGATTACTTTTTAACATTATACTCAAAGGGCCAGTAAATATCACCCCGGATTTGGCCCGTGGGCCGCCAATTGAATAACCCTGATAAAGGCTTCTGGTATTAAAATGGATGATTGATAATTTGCCATTTGATTCGATGTTCTGGTTGTATTGTTCATCAGTGCAGTAGTACTAGCAGATGTTGTTGCTGAAGAAAAAGTTATTGTCCGGATCAGTTTCATGTTCCAAGTCATGTAGCTTGTTATCAGTGTACTCGAATGTTTTTAGTTTCAACTGATAATTATCCTTTATCCTGAGTTATGTCACTATTGACTTCAGATGTATATGAGCGGGTTTGTGTGTGTGTTACCTCACAGTCCGGTGTATGATGATGATCACTGGTATCTGTCCAAATCCATGACGTTCCTGATGACCAGCACTTTTGCTTCCTCTGATGTTCCGTTTAGTTTAATAGATATTTTACAGTTTGAAGTCCAAGTGTTTTGAATTTTTCTCTGTTTCTTTAGGTAGCACGCTTTTCTAGCTATGTCAGCGTTGCGCTTAGTTAAATTATCATTCATATAGACATCTGATGCTTTCAGCTTCCTTCACTATTTTAGCGGACTGATCTTGTGTTTTCTGTTCACAAACCTCAGTATGATAGCCGGCTTGTCGCTGTCCTTCCGCCTGGGTAGAGGGTGACATGCCTCGATGTTCTTGCAATCCAGTTGTACTTGTATCCCCTTGGACTGTAGGAAATCCAGTTCCCCTGGCTAGGCATAATCCTTCCAGATATAGTTGGAAGGATCTGTCCTGGGGGCGCCTTGGAGTCCCCCAATCAGAACTGGTAGATATGACCAGGGGAAGGGAAGTTAGGGGCCCTTTGCTGGAGCTGCTCCCCCCGCAACCCTACTATGGATAAACGGAGGAAAATGGATGGAAGTGCATTGTTCCCATGACTCAGGTATACATTTGTTCGACCTAAACTGCCTAATTCTATGAGCCTTTTTGATTAGCACAAATCTGACCAAAAGTAGGCGGGGTTTTTACTTGTTGCTATTGATGATCATTTATCTGCGTTTTGCTAAAAAATGGCGCCAAAGCATATGCCCTCTTCCTTATACCAATTTTGACGACACTGTGCAATGATAATAAAGTAGAATCTGATCTGATTCCCATGCTTTACTAAAACACAACTGGGATCCCAACCAAGCCAGGCCTTTCCTGTCAATCTCACAATGAAAAAAAACTTTTTCTCCATTTCTACTTTGGAAGCTGCTTTTCTTTTTCGTACTGGATCGGGTAATGATTATCTGTATCAACGTTTTTCTTATTATTTTAGTAGTGTAGTGTAAGCAGCAGGACACCAAAGATGTCCAGGATACCGGCAGACGCTGTGTGGGAAGTGCAATGCATAAACAAATCGGTTAGCTGTAGGTGCCAGAAATCTGGACGAAATATATCACTGGAGACAAGAAAGCAAAAAAACTCAGTTTTTTTTTGTCACCTTAATACATTTTACTTGATGGCAAAATCAGTCCAATTTCAACAGGAAATGAGACAAGGAGATGAGAGGAGGTAGTTACATTACAACGTTTGTGGGGAATTCAGTGATCATCTAAACAATCAGTAAAGTGGAACAGGAAGTGGTGAGTGAAATGTACACATGAGACACATCGGCTTCAGTAGAAATGAAGGTTTTGCTGTCCAATACACCAGAGATGTTATAAAACCAAATGTACAATAAATATTTAGTATCAAAAACACTATTAATCCCTTTTAAAGTAGATAACACTTCCACGTTTTCAGTGTACAACTTCCACAATATCAATGTTGACATACTGAAAAGATACCGAAAAACCAAACAAGTGATGCATGCTTTGAGCAAATAATCGTCCTAAACCATCAAAAGGAACACTGAGAAAAATCTTCATCTATTTTGAAATTAAGTTGCAATCCAGAATACATTTAAAGATTTAGATCATTCATTATTGTGTATACTGATCAGATCAAAAATACACACAGCGAAAGACAATCATGGGCTACACTATACATCAGAATTGAAAATGTTCCAAAATGCCCGTCTCAAAAATATGAAGTGTATTAGAAATGCTCAGATCCACACCACAGAGAGGACTTTACCCTTGGCTCTCTACACAGAACTGTGAAACCTGGACAGCTAAACACTGGAATGATGACAGCGAGGTTACACACGCTTCGTGGTCATACTGGATCAAACATGTTTCATGAAGAAAGGCTGCTTAAGATTTGCAATGTCGTCTTTATATTGGATAGGACAGGCTACCTTTTCTTAACATACCAACACAGGTTATTTTGAACTGCTCATTTTGAGAATAGCAAGTTTTCCAATATTTTCCAAAAGGTTCATATTTCTAAAGGCCATAATACCCATATACCATGTGTTGAGCTTTAGGTTGCTATAATCATTCCTTTTATCCAAACTGGTTCAAATACCTTCAGAACCCTGGTCCAAATGAGCCCATCAGCATTTCTTTCAGAGTTGGGATGTATTCAGTTACTGGTTCAAAGTTGCCTATTTGATTGATTGAATGTTGAACAACTGTACACGCTTTAGCTTCAAACTCTGGACAGCATGTTTTTACACGGAGTGAGGACTGTGGATGTTTACGCTACCAAAGGATCATTTGAAGGTCAGTATTGAACGAAGGAATAAAAGAGCAACAATAACTGCGATAGAGACACCTTAGAAGTATCAGTTGTATTGAGATAAGACTTGAAAAAGCCAGAATGATTTTGAGCTTTAAATGTTGTCTATGAGTAACCATACAACAACCAATAAAATGGTCCAAAATTGGAAAAGGATTTAAATCAGTTAATATCCTTTTTCAGATATCTGACATTTAGTTACACATTTTTAGTACTTTAATTTAGACCGTATCAAAAAAAGCAGTGGTTCAAAACCCACAGGTAAATGTGAAAATCAGTATAATCAATAAATTAACTGATCCCTTTCTGCTCTACTGGTGACTCCCTATGTTAAATAATTGAAGTCATTTTTAGTCAATTTCTTTCCTTCAATGCTATATAAGTAAGTTTCAGGAGAATATTTAGCTCTTCGGTACCCACAACTATCCATCCTCTGTCTGTCACTGAGCAATTACAATTCATTGCCACCACAAGAACTCTCTCATTTTGTAAAGCAGGTTATTCAATGAGTCATTCTTGTCAATGGTTAAATAGGAATGTGTGTCTGCATCTGAAGAGGTCCTTGAATCTGCTGTAAAACACTAACATCTAACAAAGTGTTAATTTGAAAAAAAGGAAGGACATCCCATTTTCAGTTTTGTAACTTTGCCTCAGTGACGGAGAGAACATGGAGCACTCAACTGATCCTCAGCTTCTTGTTCACAATAATGTCACCGTCCTTCATGAGTTTAGCAATGCAGCGTTATGTCCACAGTGAAAAATACCGATCTAATATCAAAAAGATGTATCAAAACTCCTACTCTCTACATGTAGCTATCAAAACTGGAGCATTGTGACAACCTGCATGTAGTGCGTGTTTAACCATCCTCCCCAACATTTCTCTTTTTTTACAGAAGTCACACACAGTGTTATATACAGAGCGTTCCACATATTAGTGCCTTGAAAAAAGGTGCTGGTTCAGTGAACAAAATGGTGCAGGTGATCCGTGAGGTCCTCTGAATGCATCCCTATGATGTGTTCAAGGAGGTGTGTTCAAGAGCCCGGAGCTGACAAAACAAAAATAGACAAAATCTAATAAACATGACTTTCTGATAAGTACTAGATTTATACAGCCATATTTAATGTAATAAAAAAAGGTTACCTGTTAGAGTTTGAATGCTGCTTCAAGCATCAGGTAAAGAAACTGTAAAAAGGAAATAGAAGGCAGAAATCATTAGAATTGTTTTAAATGATCTGCTTGTTATCAAAGCTCCAACCCCCTTGTCTTTATTTCAAAAATAAAAGCTGGGGCACAACAGGAAGCAGAAGTTAAGGGTTAAGGTTGGGAATGCTTGAAAACAGTGTTCTGCAAAGGATCTAAACTACACGCTGGAGAGAGAAAGAGTTCATGGAGAGCGAGAGAAAATAAAGAAATGTCTTCAGTTGGAAACAGTCACAGTGGAGGCAAAGCCAAAAAGAAAGAAGGGATTGTTGTCTAAGCCACATGACTGAAGGCTCATTAATGCAAACCAACCCAACGCTACGGCTCATAGGAACTGTAGGAAAGTCATCAACATGCAGTGACTAGAAACTATGTTCCATGATTCACTATCATTCATGGTCCTTAAAGTATCATGGTGGGACCTTATTAACAATGCTAACAATGCTAAGACTGCCAAGATACAATGTTAAGTTGCTAGCAGTAGATCAAACCTCAGTTTAAAGGTTAACACATCTATCAAGATCCGTTTACATGACAAATATCTTTATTTTAGACTTTTCTCAATAGGCGAGTATTATTTCATACTTCTAGAAATGCTGATATATTTGTAAGGACAAACAATGGCCAACAGCTAGTTAGCTAGCTTGTTAGCTACCAACACAAGGTTAGCACGTCTGATCAAAGTTCCCAAAGTCAACAAGACTGTGCCAACTCTCAATTTAAAGTATGCACCTGAGTCCAGAAAAGATTAATGTCGATTTTCGATCACTTGGGTTTTAAACATTTGTTTATTGTTATAACTGTTTAAAATGATTCTGTGTGTATAGATATATTGTATATCATTCTGAACAAATTGCTAACCTTCTGCTAATTAGCTAGCTAACACTGAAAAACACAGCAAAATGCTGCATGCTGAGAGGAGGAAGCAAGGTTACTTTGCAGTATTTCTAAAGCACTTTTATGGAGTGTGGAGTCACCTTAAACTCAAGAGTTTGATTATTTATGATGAATTAATAAAATACATGATAGAACAGCTCTTATATGGAATCCTGTTTGCGCCATAGGAAAAAAATCCTGTAAGTCAATATAATTACTTAACTATCTCATTATAATGACTTACTATGTCATTATATTGACTTAGCTATCTCATTGTAATGACTTATTATAATTATATATTTTTTTATTGAAACAATGTCAAATACAGAATAAGGCACATAGACATCGATGTTCATCATATAAGCGGTACAACTTTATATTAAGGTACACAAATTCACCATCAACTAGTTGTTCATTAACATGCATATTAGCAGCTGCAGTATATTGGCTTTTTATTAGTCATATATTAGTCACTTACTAATGCCTTATTCTACATGACACAAGTAATCTGTGTATGTTACACTTGCATGTATGAGATCATTAAGTGCCTTGTAACTTTTTTTTTTATAGTTTCACTCCATTTGAATGTCAGTGGACTGCAAATAAGTCAATAAAGGAGCATGGCTGCTCATTCCCTGGCTAGTGTATATCCTAAACGCCACTATTATTTTGCTTCATAATGAAATAAAGTTGTGCATACATTTTTTCTTAAATAGCCTATTTAAGAAAAAATGTATGCACAACTTTATTTCATTATGAAGCAAAATAATAGTGGCGTTTAGGATATACACTAGCCAGGGAATGAGCAGCCATGCTNCATTTCAAGATCTATCGGAACTATACTGGGAAAAGTACTCCGGTGTTGAAAGCGCCTATAGTNTATAGGCGCTTTCACACCGGAGTACTTTTCCCAGTATAGTTCCGATAGATCTTGAAATGTTGCGTTCACACCAAAAAAATCCGGAACTAGAACTTAGTTCATGAGAACCTTTTCACCCCTTTTTTAGCCCTGCTAGAGAGCAGGTACTTTCATGGGAGAAAAAGGTTCCCATTTCTGATTGGCTGGCCGGATTGCAAACCAGGCCCCGTAAAACTCGGAAAGTTTTGTGAAGCCGCCATTGTATTTGCTGGCATTAGCATAATTAGCATTAGCATTAGCCAAGTGCACCAACAGAGAGAGACTAACTTATGGCAACACAAAAGAAAACATAGGAGCGGTGGAGATGAGGAGGTGTCGGCGTTCTGGCGATTTACTCTGAAGGCTTCCTTCCCCAACTCCGGGGACTTCCGGCTGGGGGCTTCGGGTGGCAGTATATGCCGTGAACTTGTTTGCAGCCTGCCAGTAAACCCAAAGCAGAAGAAGAAGAAGTGACGTCAGTGGCTTCATTTGCCTAATCCTCCCTCAGGGACTTATTCCGGTGTGAACATGATCTGCTCTTTAGTTCATCAGAACTAAAGAGTTCTGATGAACTAAGTACGGCAAAGTACTTTTGATGGGGTTTTTTCTATACTATTTTAGAACTGTTAACTTGCAATCATTACATCTTCAGATTATTTTTCAATAAGTCGTTTTTTAAAGATATTGCATTACAAGTCTTAGTCTATGTATATCTTCTGGCATATGATGTTGTCCTGCAAACAGCCTATTAAGCAGTGACTGTTGACAAAGAATGTTCCCGATACATTTTTCAGTGAGTAAATAGACTCAATTAATTATTTCAGCTCTTTACTCATACTTAAAACTCTAACTGTATAAAAAGATTTTAATAACATACCTATATTCCCTTTTTTAAATTGTAATATTGGTGTTAAGCTGATTGTTTTATATATCATCCCAAGAAGGTTATAAAATATTTCCCACAAGGATCAATGGCACATGATGAAAGAATACGCTCCACCAATTGTTTATCTCAATGCCCTAAACTATCTGATATTATCATAATGCTAGTAGATGGAACAGGTATTGATTCACATTTCCATATGCTTTTATGATTTTGCTAAAATGTGTGTAAATAAAGCTTAACTTACTAGACATAATTTCTGTATTATACTTCAGGTCTTTATGGTGAGCACTGATGAGTATCGTGTGCTTTCTGCGTCACATGATGCACATCATATGGTGCATTACTGCAGTGCAGCAGCAGTGCGTTTCAGTCTTAACTGTGTCATCCTTCCCTGCCAGATGTGATAAAGCTGCAGCTGGTGGAGGCCGGCCTGGTGGAGTGTCTCCTGGAGGTGGTGGCTCAGACTGTAGACGGAGAGAGAGAGGAGGACGTTGCTCAGCTCAAGACTTCCTCAGACCTCATGGTTCTCCTGCTGCTGGGAGGTAAACATTGATTGGCGTTTCCAACACATAGGATCCATTTTAAAGAGGATATATTATGCACATTTTCAGATTCATATTAGCATGTAGTGTCTCTACTGGGACATGTCTCCATGCTTTAATGTTCAAAAAGCTCTTTATTGTTCTCATACTGCCTGTGCTGCAGCACCTATTTTCACCCTCTGTCTGAAACCAGAGCCCAGTCTGCTCTGATTGGTTAGCTGGCTCTGATGTGATGAGGGATGGGTATCGAGAACCGGTACTAAATTGGTACCGGTAGCTGATTGGTCAGTACCGGTATACCAATAAGAAACTCCCCCTTTGCAGACCATTTACATGCACAGAAACCTATAGCGCACACTACAGAGAGGGAAAACCCTCTTTAATTCCTAGTAAATGATTTTAATATCACAAATATATCTCAAACCTGCTTGCTTCTCCTTCTGTCATGAAATAGTTAATGTTAAATGTAAATCATATAAGCAGTTCCATAGCATAGTGAAAGCAAACAGTCATATTCATATTCCCTCCATATCTGAACATAAAAAGAACCTTGTGTAACACTCATTTAAAATTCACACTTACTTCCAACTTTTATATTAGTGTTGCAGCACAACCAAATATACAAGGTCATCATTATCCCTCCATATTAAGCAACTCTATTAATGGAATGCAAAATGTAACCAAATACGTGGCCATACATATAAATGCACACAGTATTCTGTCCTGCACCGACCGAGAGTATCAATAATTCAACCTTTTATGTGAATATTTTATTGCCGTGGAATAGCCTTAACATGGTGTGTTATAAATATAAATACTGGACTCTAATCTTATTATTTCCACCATTCCACATGATGGTGTTCATGGTCTGCATTTTTGTATGTGCTATACTACAGTTAATACATTGAATGAGTGATTAAGCAATAATTCGTCCATATGTTCCACTAGTGCTTAATAAATGGACTGTAAGATAGTGAACAAAATTTTTTCTGTCCTTTTTATTCGTGTGCAGTTACATGTTTTTGACCGTCAACTAAAGCCAAAATCAGATTATAGGATACTAATGTCTATTGGGAAGATCAGTATGTCAGATTAGAGAATTGCCTGCTGTTTTCCTCTCGAGCTGAAACACTCCCATAAGATCCAGGAACAGATAAGGCAGCCTGAAAGGCGAAACACAGGGCAACAAAAGGTTTCTCAATGTCAAGTACGCTTGCTTGGTAGCACATGTTTTCCGAGTCACTTACTTCAGAAGCGAGGCAAGAATACTTCCTGGCATTCGGAAATCGAAGAGTGGAACAGGCGAGCAAGTGTGCAGGTGTGCGTCATATGAGAGGCCCCGCCTCACATTTTCCGCCACAGATTTGGGGAAATTGGTCCGTGCGCAAAGCATTGTGGGGATTTTAAGACTGCGGAGTCTAAACATGTGCAGCCTCTAAATTTCTCGCTACGAAGTACGCCAGGCTCGTAGAATTTGAAGTATGCTGGACATTGGAACAGTCCTTCGGCGGCACTCGGTGACGTAGTATGCTTGAAATAGTGGCTCTGGAGCAGCTTTACTTGACATTGAGAAACACCCCCTCTCTGCTGCTCAGGAGCTTGTAACTCTGAGCACACTGATTATTGACTCAGTTGACTCAATTAGCAAATCCAATGAGTGTATCAACATTTGTATTGACTGCTCTCTTCTTATGGGGATTATGGTGCAGGACAGCCAGGGGACAATGTCCACACACATTTAGGAGTAACACAATCACCCCCAAACTGGGTCAAATGAAAGTAGAAACCGTTTAATGGTAGAAATGTAGCTGTGATGTTGCAGAAACCTTAAAGCCTCC